GCCCACGATGAGTGTTGATCATCAACAACTCCCCCGAGTCTTCGGCGACATGTACTTGAAGGTAGGGATCGGATAGATCAAGCTTAGCAAAGCGCACCATCATTCAACTTTGCAAAGATATCTTCCGGTACGGGTAATGGGTACTGGTGATCGTCCAGCGCGGCGTTGAGGCCAGTTGAGAAGTCAGCGCAGACGCGTACCTTGCCATTTGCTTTCTTCACTGCGACAATAGGTGGGGCCCATGATGAGTAGTGGACAGCTGTGGTGACTCCGGCACGTTCCAGTCGATCGAGTTTTTGATTAACGGTTGACATGCCTGCATATGGTACCGGTTTTTTAACCTTGAGCACTGGTCTAGCACCTGGTCGCAAGCTCAGCGTTTTCTTGAATGTATTACAATGGCCTAAGCCATCCTGAAAGACAGAGGCAGATTTTCGCTTCAGCGAACGGACTTTCATAATGGATCTGGACGTGCACGGACTCAACTGCAGATCTGATTCAAAGGAGCATCAAAGAGTTGCGACTTTTCAATCCACTTTAGACAAAGAAGATTCAGATTCGGCCGGTCTGAAATGTAGCACGTTCCCGAATCTTCCGCACTTTTGAAAGCAATCTTGCAAGGTGTCTCAGCAAAAGTATGCAGTCCACTGCATACATCCCACTTTGTCGCAACGCTTCCGTGTCAACAACTCTGTCGCACCCACCAATGCGCCAAATCCGTAGCAGGCACCGTTCATGGAACCGCTCGAGATATCTCATATCTCGCCGGTACATCGTCCACGTTTCGCTGCCGTATAGAAAAACGAACAGCACCATGGATTTGTACACCATCAGCTTCGTGCCAATGGTAAATTGATGTTTGTTCCACTCTCGGTACTCTAGCTTCCCGAATGCCGCTGCTGCCTTCGACACGCGAATACGCAACTCAACGTGCAGATTAGTCGACATCACAATCCCAAGGTAGCTGAACCGGGAGTTGGTTTCTAATATTTCAGCACCAATGCTGATTCGTGGCAATATTGAAGATTGCACCTCCGGAGAAGGCTGAAAGAGACAGACAGTTTTGCTTGTGTTGATGGTGAGCCCAAATTTTGCCGCTGTCGAAGCCAGAGCACTAGTCATGTGCTGCAACTCATCCGTGCTGTGTGAAAACAACGCACAGTCGTCAGCAAACAGTAACATACGGATAGTTGTCTCACAGACCTCGCACCGAAACGACGGATGTCCAGCAACCCACCATCAATACGGTGCTCCACACGAACACCGTAAGCGCAAGCGACATCAAAAGCACAATACAACATTGCATGAAGATATATATTAAACAGAGCAGGAGCTAAGACATATCTTTGCTTCACATCAGAGACAACTGTAAAGTCATCCGAGGTCTCTCCACTCAGCTGCACCCTCGCTCGATTACCACTGTGCAGACATTCAATTAAACTTACAAACTTACGCGGGCAATCAAACTTACCCAACACCAGCCACAATGCCTCGCGGTTCACCGTATCAAATGCCTTGGTGAAATCAACAAAAAGCGAGTACAGTGGGTGGTGTCGTTCTCTGCACTTCTCCTGCAGCTGACGAGCCGCAAACACCATATCTATAGTGCTGCGACCCGAACGGAATCCACACTGCTCCTCCGCCACGTTAGGTTCCACAACCTGAATGACTAGGCGGCTGAGTAGGATTCGGACAATCACCTTGCCCACACAACTCAGCAAGTTGATGCCACGATAATTCGTGCAACATTGCTTGCCACCTTTGCCCTTGTACAGTGGTAGCACAAGGGTATCCTTCAGCTCAGCAGGCACCTCCTCCTCAATCCATACGCGTTGCACCAAGTGGTGCAGCGCAGTCAACAACGCGTGTCCGCCGTGTTTCAATACTTCAGGCGGGATCCCGTCGGCTCCGGCACGTTTGCCGTTTCGCAGCTGTGCAAGTGCTCTCTGCGTCTCATCCAGTGTTGGCGTATCCGCCAGATTCGCCTTCACATCGTGCTGCTTCAGGCCGTTCAATGTAGGCCAGTCTATCGGTTGTTCAAGAGGCAGTCGAAGTGTTTCCGCCAGATCTGCATTATGTCTGCAGTCTGTGTGCAGGTAGCGCCTGAACTACCATCGATCAGTGTCCTCAGCGGCTCCAATTTCGGTCCATACACCGCCTTCAAGGAGTCAAAAAATTCCTTGTGTTGGCGGCGTTCGGCGTAGCATTCCATCTGCTTCCTCTTCTCCGTCCACCATGCATTTTTAATGCGACGGAGCTCTCGGGTCAGTGGCCGTCGAAGTTTGCGAAACTGACTACTCCTTCCCAAGTCACTGGGATCTGCAACATGTGCAGAAAATGCTGCATTCTTTCCCGACACCAATGCGCCAATCGTCGCATTGTTCTCATCAAACCAATCAGGCGGCTTACAGTTTGCGCGCCCGATGGTCTCCTCGGCAGCGGCTGTCACCTGGTCGCGAATGTGGTGCCACAGGTCGCCCACTGTGGCTATGCAGTCCACATCACACAGGCGTGCAGCCATCGCCACAGTACCGAGGGAGAGAATGTTAAATTTACGCCGGTTTACGGCGGGAGTGCAATACATAGATTTACGAAAATATATGTACAGTTTGGTCCGCACCAACTTGGGATCAGTGCCACACTCAGCTAAACGCAGTACACGTGTCATGCGCACTTCATGCATATCACCCTGATGTACGATGACATAGTCGAGCAGGTGAGCGTGACCACTCCGTGGGTGCGTCCAATTTGCTATATCACTCGCACTCAGTGCAAACCGAGTGTTCGTGATCGTCGGGTCGTGAGTAGCACACAGTGAGAGCAGCCTGTCACCGTTCGCATTCGTTGAGCCAATGCCATGCGCACCGATAACATCTGTCCACGTTGATGCATCACGCCCAACGCGCGCGTTGAAATCACCCAGCAGAAATAGTCGGTCGCTCCTCGGCACAAACCGTATCACGGAGGATAGCTCAGTGTAGAATTGATCACGCATGTCATCAGGATAACACACGGTCGGACCGTACGTGCTTATAAAAGTAACAAACTTACCTCTTCCGAGTCGTAGGCGAACAGTCATCAGTCGCGCGCTGATACCTGTTGGTTCACCCACCAGCTGGCCATGGAGGCGATCGGATATTGCAAATCCGACCCCATGATCACGTGATGCTGAAGTGGCGTTTCCCACTCAGTAGAACATGTAGCCAGCACCTGCTTCATGCAACTTACCTTTCTCAGAGAGCCGGTTTTGACTGAGGGCCGTAATATCGACGTGGTGACGCGCCAGGTCCATAGCCACTAGTGCAGTGCGGCGCTCGGGTCGCTCACTGGAGTTCCCGTCCAGGAGTGTGCGCACGTTCCAGCGCCCGATGCTGAGTGCTTTGCGCGCAGGCATACAATTGCATTGGTGGGCAATCGCACGCGAGGTGGTCGATGTGCTTCGGAGGTTTGCTTGAGGGACTCCACCCGGAGCCTGTGGCTCAATAGCCTGACCCACAAGGCAGTGGGGAGCAGATCCACCTCGCGAATGTGATTGCAGAGACAGATTGGGATCTGCTTGACGGCCGTCACACGCAGCCTTTGAGGTACTGGAACAATTATTACATGTTTTGCGACCGTAATAGGATACGCACCTGCGACCACGGCCAGACGCAGGTGGGTTTTGGCGGGTTTGCACCGATTTTACCAGGGGCTGCCTGGCTTGAGGCGGGCAGTAGCAACCCATTGAACACCTGGAGGTGTCCTCCCACCGTCAGAGACAATGCGTGGCGCTCGTGCTCTACGCCAATCGAGCTGTGAGCTTATGACCCGTAGACCTGTTGCCTCCCGTAGCTAGGTTTTACGGGAAGTGGACCATCGACCACTTCCTAACCTCCGAAGAGGATGGACTAGGATACTGTCAGGGCGCCCACACCTGACAGGAGGACGACTCGGGTCCTCAGCCAAAGCCTTCGATTAAATATACACCGGAAAGGCAGTGGGTCTAGCATGCATGCATATATATATATATATATATATATATATATATATATATATATATATATATATATATATATATATATATATATATATATATATGGCGGCATCCGGTTCCGGATTTGCCTGTCACTGTGGCCAGCCACAGGACGCCTGCGCCTACAGAGGGACCATGGGTGGCTTGCGCTGCACCACCCACAGCTCCAACCACACACCCCATATCCAGTATCAACAAGAAGGAATAAGACCGGGAGGCATGTGGATGGGAACCACGTTTCGTCAACGGAGCCGGCCCACACTCCTTCACAGGCAAACACAAGCACGCTGTATTTGGGAATCAGTGGCACACAAGGCGGTGGCTGGACTGTAGTCCGCTCCACACTGAGTGCATGGAACCACCCCAGCAACGACCAACTCTCTCCTAGAGGCAGTATGGACGAGGTAGTGGATAGTAAACAGGTAGGCACCTTGTCAACATGCACATCAAGCGAAGCCACAACGAGGATGTCAAACAACAGCCAATTTCTTTAAATGACATTATCAAATAAAATACATATGTTAAAGAATACGGCTATGCCGATATAACTCTTCCATAAATTAGCATATGAATTAAGTTAGTTGTCAACGGCTGTGGAGATAGGAAATAACTAAAGGTTCCTTTATGGTATCTAGTGGCTTTTTGGCCATGCACGTTTTGAATGCATTCAGCACTTCCGCTTACCTGAGAAGTAGTGCAACCTGACTCATGGGGTTAGGTGATAGCAAGTGTTACGGCTCGCAGACTGTAACGCAAATGAAAGATCTTAGTGCATCTGCCCCTCATTATTGTCCATAAGTTGAAGAGTTTCACGTCGCAAAGGTTCTTATCACAACTTGTACGTTTGGAGTTATAAGGTGGAATGATCGATAGCCACCGATTTGCTGTGACAACAGGCATATCGAGCTAGCCAGTTTGAACCATCATTGCAGTCCCCTAGTAAATGATGCCGTAACTGATCAATACCGTCTACATTGATATTTTTCAGAGCCAAAGAAACGGAGCAAATGGGACGCAGGCAATTTGGAAAACTCGACCAAGACCACAAGTGAACAGGTGTCAACAGAAGACACGAAGAGTTTTGTCGCATCTGTTGGTGGGCTGGTCAAGTGATGTGCAGGCAACACTATCCCCTTTGACTTGTAAATAACAACTGTTAAGCAATCTGCCTGAAAACAATGTATAAAATGGATAATTCGATTGTCGAAATGTTAAAAGCAAAATTTTTTTATCACAGGTCTGCCTTTTTCAATTCTTTAATGAGCTGTTGGAGGGGGCATAACCGGGATTGTCTTCTCATCGATTCGCTGATTCGTTGAATAAAATGGCTTGTCCACGCGACTAATCGAGGGGGGAATGAAGTTCGGCTTTGCAGTCTGATAGATTTCACTGTATGACAGTGGGCTGTTTGATAAAACGCTGGTGTGTGCAACAATTGATGTTGGCGGCCAGCTGAACGTAGTAGATGTTCGAGTCCAGTCATCTTTGTATACCTGTTGGACGTAAAAAGGAAATATGTGCGCAATAATGAAAAGTGTCGGTGAAAATATTTACACGACAGGCATAAATGGTGTAGTTCATTTGCTACACACACAAAATCTACGATCTAAATGTTAAATCGGTGCAGACTTGGAGACGTCCTACTGGCCAAACCCACATCGATCCGTGGCTAACCAAAAGCGCATGTAACATAACGTGATCCAATCGGAACAGACCGTTTTCTGGACTCGTATGACCGTTGGATATTTAAATGATTTGATGATGGTTTGAAAAGTATGCCCGGCCTTATGGACAATTCCTGTTTGAAAAGCAGTATGTGCATTGCCTCGTCAGTGCTGTGGACGACAGCTAGCAATCACCTCAAACTGATAACAAGTACGACCAAACATACATGGGGAAAAGAAGTGAAAAAAGCGGAAGCTTCGGTTTACTGATAAATGCTTTTGTTTACAAAGCATCATTTTATTCTAAACAGGAAAATCAGAAGACGTAGATTGTGAGATGACTTCGCCATTTCGTGCATTCTTACCAATCACAAAAACATGCAACAATGATATGTGAATGAACAACCAACGATCTCAAATAGATCATAAATAGCTCCGCATTTGCGCTACTAGGGTAGGTTTAAAGTCACAGTCAGCTGTTTGAATACATAGCGGCGGTCGCTCGCGATCGATAACCTAAGCATGTGAGGCCGCCGATCGCGCAGTAAGACAGTGAATGACTCATCAGGATGTACTCGGTGGCCGGCGGTAAGCAAGTGCTTTGTGATTGCCGAGGCAGCTCGGTTTCCCGATTCAACTGATTCCGTGGTTATAGACATCATTCGGCTGCGTAACCACTTGGGGATGTGTTCATTGACTCTGACATCTAAATTCCGGATAGTGCGCCCAATGTAGCTCTCTCCGCGACTACAGATGAATTTATGTAGACAGTGGGGCGTGCATTGCCTCGTCGTCAGTGTCTTAATCGAACACATAAGCATAAATCTTGTCGAGGCGAGCAGCCGCAGCTCTTTCGTGTGGAGCACTGATACGTTTCTCGGTGGCCTTCATAACGTGGTCACCTCTGAAAGGTAGCTCAATAAAGACCGACTTCTTCGGAACTGTTGGCACACGATCTCGCTTGTTTGCTTCACTGACACGCTTAATGAATTGCAGCGGGTAACCGTTGGAATGTGGCGCATTGAAAAGCAAATCTCTTTCTGCCTCTATGTTGTCAGGTGTGCAGATTATTTGGGTCTGATAAAAGTGTCCGGACGAGAGAGCGTTTGTGTTGACTAGGAGATATACTCGTAAAATGCAGATACAGACCAGTCCAGGTTGGCTTCTGTAAACAAGCCTGATGGAACCGTCTGGTCGCCGTGTAATCAGTCTAAATACGAAAGACAATTATCTTGCTCGTTATCACGCGTCACTGTAAGGTTCGGATGCAATTTGTTGAGTGTCTTGGTCGCATGCTCAATGTCCACATCTGAATTCATAATTAGCAGTATATCATCAACATAACGCTTATACAGAGTCGCCGATCTTATTATATTATCTGCTTTTCCTTCAACCATACTCATGAATGTGTTTGCCAACAACGGGCCTAATGGGCTACCCATGGCCACACTATCTATCTGCCGATATGCTTTCCCTTGGAAGGAAAACTTGATGTCTTGCGTGCCAACAGTTCCGAAGAAGCCGATCTTCATCGAGCTACCTTTCAAAGGTGACCACGTTGTGGAAGTCACCGGGAAACGGATCAGGGCTTCACCCAAAGAGTGTAAAATGCGGCAGCTTACATCTATAAGACCTATGCTTGTGTTTGACTAAGACACGGACGACGATACAATGTATGTCCCACTGTCCTTGTAGTTTCACCTGTAGCTACGGAGACAGCTACGTTGGGCGCACTAACGGAAGTCTGTGTCAGAGTCGGTGAACACATCTCCAAGTGGTTATGCAGCCGAATGGTATTTGTAACGATGGAATCGGTTGAATCAGGAAACCGAGCTGCCTCGGCAGTCACAAAGCATTTGCCTACCACCGACCACCAAGTCAATCTTGATGAGTCATTCACTGTCCTACTTCGCGATCGGCGGCCTCACATGCTTAGGTTATCGATCGCGAGCGACCGCCGCTATGTACTCAAAACAGCTGACTGTGACTTTAAACCTACCCTAGTAGCGCAAATGCGGAGCTATTTATGATCTATTTGAGATCGTTGGTTGTTCATTCACACATCATTGTTGCATGTTTTTGTGATTGGTAAGAATGCACTAAATGGCGAAGTCATCTCACAATCTACGTCTTCTGATTTTCCTGTTGGAACATCTTGTTTTAAACATCATTTATTCCCACTTACCGGGACATTCTCGGTAAAACGATGACTTTGAGGATAATAGGTGCGCACCGATGAAGAGGCTGGTGGACTATGTGAACAGGGCACTTAAGTCAATCCAATTTGACACATGTTCACTAACTTGTAAATTCATTATCATAACCGTTCTGTCTATGTGACTGGCTCTGCAGCTGCAGGCGAATGGGTGCACGTAATGCACATTGGCAGCATGGAAAGTGCTCTTTGTGGTAAAGATCGGACAACTGCTGATCCACAATGTGGGCATTTTAGCCACCGCAGATACGATATATCTCGCTACCATTCATTTGACCATACTTCTCTATGGGTCGTGGTGATTTTCAGCCTCAAACGATAGGGCGGCAAGACCAAGTAACGTCTCCGAAAGCGACTGCACGTATCAAATAAATGTGAAACTAGCGAATTACAAACACTGATCGGACAGCGTTTTTCTGTAAATAAGCCCTCTAAATTTGTCCGTTTTCCAGGCGAAAGACGAAAACATCCGGAGGTGTTCTATTTCGCATGAGATTTTCAGGTAGGCATGCGTAGCCTAGACTTCTTAATCTGCCGCTCCGATGAATAAAATGTCTAGCATTTGTAGTACGACAGCTGCGCTATTTATGCAGACGTACCTCGTCCAATTATGGGGCCAAGTGGGTTGTCCATCCATACTTCATTGATTTGACGGCATGAAAACGAGTGCCTAGTGGTTTCCGCCAATGCACAGAGGTAGTTGACAGTCTGACACAGTGGGACGTTGGTAAACAAGGATTCCGTATTCAAAGAACACTTCTATCCGGTAAGTTAATTCTGTCGAGGCCGTCAATAGGCTCAAGTAGATAAGACTGTTCAAAATGGGCCGCCTTGTCAGTGAAGAAAGTACTTTTATCGACCCAGGAGGCATTTCACGTTGGTGTGCGTTTAACCTAAAGCACAGCGGCCGTGGCGGCCCCCACCTTTGTGTGTTTTCGGTAGCGGTTGGGTGCGGTGAAACCATTTGGCTACAAATTGTCACTGTCGATCACCAGATAGTGATGGAGTCCTTATAGGCAACAAAGTACGCGAGAATCTAGCGCGGTTACTAAGTTTTCGAGTTGCCTAGATTAACAAATCATCGAGTATGAAGCCTATTTTCGCCAAGACTCTGCTACGTTATCTAGGCGTGCCGTTACCAGATAACGTAACGGCAACTCCGTTGTGTGGGAGGTATTAGCAAACGCTCCAATCAATCACGCACTCATTTTAGCCGGAAATAGCGTGTTGCTATTTGACAAGGTGTAATCCGCTAACCAGCATTTTATACCACAAACAATTTCCAATTGGTCACATGGTGATTGAAGATCGGACAATTGACCTGTAGACTACTGTGGCGAACCCATATGTCGTACTGAATGAGAACGTCACTCATCACCAGTTAGCAAACCACATATAAAGTAAACGTTGCCAGCAGCAGACAAAGGTGAAGTGGATTTGGCCGCCAGACTTAACGTTGCTGAAGTGAAAAGGAGAACAAAACGTAATCAGAAAAGTTGAATGTAAGAAACCGAACTTCAGTATCTGGCTGAAGCATCGGCCCAGCCACATCGCACAGGGTTTTTTAGCAAATGAAGCGAACTTAGTTGCAACCAGACTCATCTATGACAAGTGGCGCGTATAGTGGTTGTTGACAAACGTTCATGCGTTAAACTGTACCAGACCGGCAGCAAGGAGTGTAAATCTAATGATGATGGGTTGAATTCGCCGCAAGTACACGACCGTCGTGCACCCGAGAATGCACCACATCTCTGCTCCGTTTTTCTACGATTTGTAGTAAGCGCGCATTCCACATGCACAGTGGAGGGGGGGGGGGCTAGAACCCGCGGCAGTCAACGATTGACATACCAAAAATGCTTGTTGCGACATAACGTGGTTCATTCTTCTATGGCTTACACGTTGTTGCCGCGTAGGTGGCTCCCTCCCCGAGCAACGTTGTTCCAAACCAAATTCGCAAATTGAATTGCGGTTTTTATAAGCAGACTGAGAGGTTAGGTCAAGAATCTGAAGGCACTTGTGAAGACTGTTGTAACTCGCACGTCCCGCCTCCTGCACTCCCCGAGGCTTCTCAGTCAGACTCCATCCTCCGTCGCGTTTTATTATACATCCGTTCACGTTTCCCTAGTTGTACCAGAAATGCTTTTGCATACCCATAACTTTAACGACTTTGTGTTTTAGTGTCCCATGCAAGAGGGTGATAATACTGCAAACGCAAGCTTCAGCCATTGAACGGCGGCAGCAATCTCATTCCTTTAGAATGGTGTTTTCACAGTGAAGTACGCCACAGTCTGTTGGGTATTTCTGGGGCTCGCCTAAATGCCGGTTGGGGTGTCTGCTTGCCCCTCCTTACACGCACACACACACAACCAGGGGGCTCGCTCAGTACCTTTCTCAGAGGAAGCGAGGAAGAATCAAATAAAGGGTAACTTATAATCATGGCCTTTGTAAATGTCAGAAAACGGGTAGCAGACAAGGACCAAAACATACCACATAGCGTTAGTGACGCTGTAATATAATTGAGCTACACATTACAAAAAGTCCAGAAGACGCCGGACCCCACACCGTCGGCCATCGTGGCTAAACGCAGAGGTGTTCAGAAACAGCCGATGTTCGGTATGCATTTGTAATAAACGGATACCAATGTCTGAGAAATCGGAAACAGGTAGTAAGGCTAAAAAGGCTCTATAGAAAGTCCAGATGACGTACTACAGCCCTCATATTATCAGCAACTAGAACCATCGCGATGTTGGTCACAATGCGTAGCAGTATGCAAAGTTCATAGTTCAACGCAACCTTGACACCGCCAAGACGGCCATCGGCTGCTGCACGGGTGGCAAGAGAATAAGTAACAGTTAGCGTTTCCCCGTGTACTAAACCCAGTTGGTATTATGAAACGAGCTGCGTATAGGCGCATTTAGCTCGGCAACCACTTGAAAAATGTGAATTACAGTTTCGGAAACCCAGCAAAAATAAAGACGTAAGGTGCCGATCGTGCATCTAAATGGAGTAAGATGCGCTGATAGGAAGTTTTGATGACAGAAGACAATCAGGTACTGCGTTGACAAAGTTGCAATGACAAAATTCTAGTGGAACCGCGATTGTCGTCATTTGTGCCGGAGACTACAAAAGGAAGGTTAGCAGCAGATGTCGGGGAGATGTTAGAGAAACAGGTGAAAAAGGAAGATTGGGGCGCTAAGCATAATTATTTGTTTGCAACTGCCCTGTTGCACGCGGCAAATAGGATGAACCTTTTGGAACTACGCGACAGCTGAGTGTTGACGAAATAGTTGTGGGTTGGGCTAATACCGGGGAGACCAAAGCTAAGCAGAAAGGTGTCAGGATAACAAACTACATACTTAGGAATACAGCAACGGTCCATAAATTTTTTCACACGAATGGGTGCTACAATAATGCCAATCCTGGAGGACCCGAAGAGTGTGTGGCTGATCTTGAGTCAGTGACAAATCTGGCAGAAATGGCTCTCAAAGCGTTAAAATTGCCGACGAGTTCAATGCAATGGTTCGAAGAGGTAAGAGATCGACGCACCATGTTATCGTGAGATCAAAAAGTGAAGCAAGAGATGGCAGCAACGCGTAAACATCTTGAAATACGAACGAGATTAGACCGCGTGTTTTGGATCAGAACAGAAAGGGTGTTTAATTCAAACTTCTAGTGCGCTTAATGTATTCCATTAGAGTGGCCGAGCATGTGACCACCAAAGTTGGATGGAAGCGAAGGCTCGGAATTCGTTTGAAAGCGTTCGGCGGATGGCTGGATATACTCGCTGACATGTCAAGGAGCCGACTTCAGTGGCATTCCTGCTGTGAGTTTCGTTGTCCCTCCCCATCCCTTTTAGCGTCCCCCTCCACCTACGATCTCATTTCGTAGCGTAAAACATAATAATTTTTCTTTTTGCCTAGTAGCCGGCTGGTAGCTTACTGGAACGATGCCTATCACTTGCTGGTAGCTCAGCTGGCATGCAACTGTTGTATTTATTTTCCTTTTCCTTTATGTATTGCGGCACAGTAGCTGAGGTGTTTCCCACCTCTAGCTGACGTGTAAAATGATGATGATGAGGTTCGGCGGATGCTCGAATACAGCTTATACTCACTGTCCCCGCACCCGGTAATCAAGATAACATCAGGATACGCGTAAGTGCAAGTAATTCCCCTTTTGAAATTATCGATAATCTGCAACAATACCGAGTTTCATTTTCTCGGAAATCGTCTCGTGGTTTTCTGAGTGGGTCATATTTTATCGTACCGGTAAAGGTTCTAACCGAAAATATTCACCTTTACTACTGCAAGTAGCTAATGATGGTTCCCCAAAAGCCACGTAGGCAAGCGTACCAGTGATGGCTGGAATCTACTTTCGCGGTTAACGATAACAATTCACCGGACTTATCGATAGAAATAAATCAGTAGACCAGATCTATGGTAAAAAATAGAACCAACCATTATATTCGGCCACATACGGAGTTACTAGTCTCACAAATTTTACAAGTGGCGAAAACGAATAAAGGGCAGACACGGTTCGATGTTGGTAATTAAGATGTACGGCTATGCTTATGATAGACTCATGAACGAAACGAACGTAAATTTGATTACCGGAATCGGGAGTATGCGGAAGAGTAAGGTTTATTATTCACTTTACCTGCCAGTCACGAGGTAAAGCGTTCTCCAAGCGAACATGCGGAAACAGCCATCAATAAATGATGGTTGTTACCGGTGCATTTTCTAGGTATGCTAATATCTCGTTTGGGTTAGGCCAACCTTTGTGACTAGTCCACAGATGTATTTTCAATGGACACCAAAATGTTGATAACAGTTCACTAGGTGCAAACCTGTCGACTATGAGAGTATAAAAAGATCAGGCTCCACCAAAATGCGGGCCGGAGGAATATAAGATGACTTCTTTAATCAGTATATCACTTAAATTAAAATCCTTTAAGTTAAACTAAGCGCTTCCTATAATCATGGACAGTAATTGGTAGGAAGCACTGAACAAATGAGGGGCGAAAGTAAGACAAACCGTCCGTACTTCGCTCCTAGTGTGAAAGGCAATGGGTGTAATGACAGGAAAACGGAGAAAAACAGTCAGAGATCCGCATAGGAAGGCACAAAATAATTCGCACACGCGTTGAAAGTTGGAGTCAGCAAAATAATACGAATGTGAACACTAGCAGTAATACCTGAACGGTTAAGTACTTGATCAAGCTGCTCAAACGGTTGGTCACGTGGGCCAGAACAAGTTGTTCGTTTGCGTCTTGCCGAACCCGAACATACAAGCTCCCAACCAAATTACCGAATCCCAAGGACCAAACGTGTTCATTCCTCAGTTCCAACACGCCGTCTGTCGTAGAAGCCTCACGGAAAGCTTTATCCAATGGTCCGACAAGGTGCGATGGGACAGTCTGCAACAAGATACGCCCGCTGAAAAGATTATGGAGTAGTCCATAAGTAGAGTAGCATGAACTCCAAAGACAGACTGTCAAAGTACGACAATAGTAACGTTCAAACAATGCTCTCAATGGGTTGATAGTATAATACTAAAATTTGGTCCTAAATCAGTGTGGGTGAGGTACGTCGAAATGGCTGGTCGTTACACCGACAACTGTAGTAGCATTTAGGCATCAAAATGGTTTTACGGTATAAAAACTGACACGGAGTGAAATTGAGGGAGAAATGGTAGAACGGAAAGCATTCACCTGTAAAGCATCATGGGCATCATTGTGCCAAATAACATCAAGGAGATGATTAAGCCACCGATTGTGTCCACAGACGGGTCTGAGGTAGGGGAGGATGTCACGAGAGTCTCCGCCAGAACCCACCGTTCTATGCTACTTCTCATCATCCAACAAACGCAGAGCACAACGCTCGATGATGCAACGCCGACCAAAGCGAAGGGGTTTACGCGAGGAAGAAGAATACGCGAAAGACCAGGTATTAGACGGCACAACGTCCGGCTCACATCAGTCGTATGCTCCTACGAACAAGCAAACAAGAAAGATAGATGACGGATGGCATTTACCAGAAGGATAAATGGCTCAAAAACTGAAAAAAAGCAAACATCGCGCTGGAACCCACTTGCAGCCAACTGGAACTGCTGGCTAAAATGACGTGCCCGAAGGCTGGGTTATCGATCCCGTACACAGTAAGCAGATGAATCAGCAAGGCGATTGGGCACATGATGAGCGCGTATATGCAGTTCACCTGTGGGGAAAGGAAGTTACGTAAGAATGCGAAAAGATACTCTCAGGAGATGACAGCTCATGGAATCGAAAATGCCCTGGATATTTTCACTCCACGTGATGATTGTGACTGACGTAGCGCGCGCTAGATGACAAAACGCACATTTCTGCAAACCTATGGCAGTTTTAATGGTATATAAGTATTTCTAAAAAGCAAATGTCTAAGGGCTCACAACGTATCTTGTCTACAACTAGTCCAGCTAGTACAGTTTATCAAAAAAGCAGGAGAAAAACACAGGTGTGTCATAGCACCAGAGGGTCAGTTCCAGCCTCGTAACATTGATACCACTACGGTGTAAAATAGTGACAAAAAGATAATGAGGTTTAAAATGAAGGCACTAATAAAAACCATTCCAAAAGGCCGCTGAGGTTGTAAATTAGTATGAAATGGAGCAAAACAGGGAAGTGTGACTGACGATAAGCTTCACAGTTAGTACAGAATACAAAGCCGATGTCAGAGAGTGCATAAATAGCAGTATTGGAATCACAGCCAAATGACGCTATCTTACCTCAACAGGTTCAAAGAGCCGTTCGACAGCTTCCTTAATTTCAAAAAACGACGATAGTATTGCCAGTATTGTGGCAGAAAACACGGCAACAACTTCAAATCGTTCATACCCAAGGTTGTATTCACGCAATGAAGCCGACTTTCTCTTTGTCCATAAACTTGTGAGAGCAACCATCAGAGATAAGAGATCGAAAATAATCAAGTGCGTAAAGGCGGTTAAAGAGAGACTACAAAAAGACGTAATGACAAATAAATAGTCCAGTTACCTATTACTTGAATTGCAAGCTATTAACAGAGCTAGGAGGCACAAGCACACAATTGCACCAACCACCACAACTCCAACGGCACGCGGTTCAACGCGAACAATGTAGTGAATCTCATTCAACAGGTGAATGGTCGAATTGCGAATAATTTTGGTCTGTTGGCTGAAATGGTGCACGATTCTAGAGAGAACCGCCATCCATGCAACCTGAAATAAAAAAAGCAATGAAGCAACCGTCAAAAGCATGAAGGGGACAAAAAGTAGGCGATTTGCCGTGAAATGTATTCAACAGAAAGCTGACAACAAGTTACGAATCAGAATCGGTGTGCGGGACTATTCGTTCGTTCCTTCCTCGGTCACAGTTTCCATTTTTATAGTCCTCGGATAATCACAGCTGTGTAAAATGTTTACAGGGGTGATAGATGCAGTATCCTCCTCATCCGACGAAGCACTAACCAGGTGCTGATGAAGTTGCTCCATTTCCCTGGGATATTTTAGAGCAAAAATGCGCTTTAAAACGCGAATACGTTTGAAAATATTGTCCAGGTCCTTCTTTAGTTGAACCATCCTCTGAGTATGTCCGGTTAGTTCAACTGATAGCACTTTATATCGCTGGCAAGATAGTTCAGAAACAGTGCGAAGCATTTCATTTGTCTTCTCAAGCTTTCTGAGCATTGAGTTCTGCAAATACAAAGTGTTCAAAGCCTCGCCTCTTTGCTCTAAGAGACCAAGTGAATTCATCGGAACATAAGCGGGAGAAGTTGACTGCGAAAAGTGGAATGGCTCGGAGAGATTAAAAGCTTGCGCCAGTCGCACTCAGCGAGAATATTTCAGTAGCTGCAAGTGGAGGTAAGTAAAGATGTATAAAGATGAATTTTTACTGCTAAGAACATTAAGTCACAAAAAGATTGGTGCTAAAGTTAGTGTAAGAAACAAAAAAGCCGGTTAGCCTGCACGCATTCCATGTAGAAGTGACTAATGAGATGAGTATCATCACGTGAAGCTCTCATCAATATTGATGCTTAAAATGGCAAGAGTGCCGATAGTTGGAAACCATTAAGGATTGCTTTCAGTTCCTCGAAGAGGCAAATCGAACGATTAGTACATCAACTTGTTAGTGTTCACGCCAGCCTGAAGATGACTTCTGTATTCGAATAGAATGGGTGTTTCATATCTTGACATTCTCATGAGTCGCATGAATAATGGGCACATTAAGCGATCTATACACCGGAAGCCAACACGGTCTGGCTAATACCTACATTTCACCAGCTTCTCATCGATGACACATAAGCGCGCACTGGTGAAAACACTTGACTCGGGCCCGACGTATCTGCTCCAACGACTGCATGGCTGAAGAGATGGAGCTGATCACTAAAATGCTCATGGAGAATAACTACTAAGAGCGCGATTCATAGTCAAACATAGACAGGTTAGACCGCCTAAAGAAACGGTGTTGACAGCGCCAAAAAGGGCATACATCGAGCTACCATTCAAGGGTGATACCGAAGCAAGAAGGATAACTAAACGAATAGTCTCGGCCATTCCGCGTACGTACTTTGCTGCGGTGGTAATTATCAACAGAACCCGAAAGTTGCTGTTACCTTCATTAAGGGAAGATGAACCCGTCAGCGGAAAATCAGACAGAGTACCAATTCGTGTGTGACTGCAGCATCAGTTACATCGGCAGAACCGAACGGGATTTGGATTCCAAAGTGAAGGAACACCCCGCAAGGACAATGTGGTGTCCCGATACGCACAATAGGCCCCTGCGCAAGCAGGGCCGAATCTACTAACGTAAGCAGGACAAGAAGCGGACATGCTCTGGACACTCTATCCGCAAAAGTGAGTCAGATAAGGTACAGGCGTAATGGCCTTGATATTGATCCATCAATGACGCTCATCCAATCATTTGCAGTCTGCGGTGCGTGGCGTGACATACATGACTGGAACTTGCGGTAGGCGCTACAACACTTACCAAACTGGATCCAGCGCGAAGATAATCAATCCACCTACGATGAAACGTGCTCGCGTAAGCCGCTGGCTTCCTCCATAAGCAGGCACATTTTAGTGACTCGGATCTTGTTGCGTCATACGAACTCACGCCTTTTGCGATTGGCCGAGGCCGTCGCGATAAGCCGAATTAGACCAGCTTTGTGTCCAAAAGCGACTAGTTGTTGATCTGCGGTTGCCGTGATCCTAATGCTAACAACAATGATCACAACCATGAAATTGGTTGACTTGACTGGGCCTTATGAGACTTATAAAGAGATTTCCCAGTTATTGTATTCGTACTGACGAGATAACACGAAATGCTATCATCCGCCAATATTTGTCATCTCATTTCGTTGTTTAAAAAAACTGAAGGGAACTAAGTGGTTTTAATTCAGGATATAGCTAGCAACCGAAACCAGTGGAAGATCTGTGTGCATACTTGTTTAAATCCAAATACTTAACGCCTAACAAATAAAAATGAAAAAATAAAAAATGGCGTGTGGAAAAAAGTTCCGAGTTTCTGTACTGCGACACAATAGCTGAAGTATGTTGCTCACTCCCAACTAACGTGCTATGATGATGATGCTGCAGCAACTCCACATGTAATGCGCTAAGTTTCATGGTTTTGTGTGTGGTTCTACGTCTATTTATTAGACCGCTGATTAAAAAAATATTACGAGTGTTGGTATTTTTGCGGCACAATAGCGGAGGTGTTTTCCCACCTCTAGCTGACGTGTATAATGAGGATGATGAGTGCTGGTATCATGATCAATATTTTAGCAGATCCAGTTAGGTGATAGACATCAAGACAGCGCGAGCACGTGCAAGTGCACACAAAGCAAAGGTGCGTTGGCCGGTCATTTTCAAGTTGGACCGGAACAATACGTTAAATTCCTTCCGGAACATCGACAGGAATTTTACTGTAGTATGCGTCCGGTTGTGGGTTCCGAGGGCTTCTGTGTACAGGACGTACAAGTGTAGTAATAAACGAAGGCGGCTGAGAGGCAAAATATACCTCGTAGTCGCTGGACAATTTCATCACAACCACCTAGTAAGAGTCGGAGCTGGATGGAGGGTGCGCATGACTGGTGAGCTGAACGGCGTTGTCACAGCTATCGATGGAGGGCAGAGCTTGAGGTGATTGGATGGATGGCGAAAACACGCATTGGAGATGTTTGCTCTAACGAGACCAAATGTGAAGTTGGAAGGTAAAGAAAAGTGGAAACGATAATGGCATTCAAGGCTACGCTCGATGATATCTTACCTGTTGATTTGTTACTTCGACACTGACGCGCTACATTATCCCCCCTCTTATGATGCGCTGTCCGCAGGGCATACAGAAGCCCTGATCCGTGTCAATTTGCTGGCGCATAGAAGGACTGATCAGTGATGTGACAGACTCGGACGATTCCGCATGAGGTAATGCTAGCAATTTCTGCAATGACCGCAGTCCTGCTTCAGAGACTGGCATTATGAACTGGCAGGGTCGTCAGATACGTTGTAAGCTTCCGGTCGAGGGTTTCCGAATTCAGGGCGTACAGCGGTCGTAACAGACCGAGGGGGCTGCAGAGTAAAAGAAATACTTCGTAAGCGGCTGCAGCGGGATGGAAGGTGCGCCTGATTTAAAAATCATGGTAAGCTGAACGGTGTTGTCACAGCTGACGACGGAGAGCAGAGGTGACTTATGTTTTTTTATTAATCTAGCTTCACTCCTCGAGAACCCTTGTCATGTTTTTGCGGATGACATAAAGCTTGTCAGTAGGGGAGATAGGAATACGCTATCTAAAGATCTGGGCACTTTAGTAAAGTGGTCTGAATCATGGGACTTGCCAGTGAACGCGAACAAATGTCAGCTGTTATCATTCAGCAAGGTTGGGATTACGGTGTAAACAATCACAGAGTCTCTGACATTGCAGTGTGTAGGTAAGGTAAGGGATTTGGGCATTGTTATAGTAGATAGTTTCAGTCCTTCGGTGCAGTGCCAATATGCTGCTAATAGAGCGCGGCAGAAATTACTTCGCCTCAGGAGAGCGTTGTGTAGTACTAAACCTGAGGTCTTTTTCCAATTGTGCAAAGCGGCGGTTCGGCCGCAATTAGTGTATTGTGTTCAGGTTTGGGCAGCCTATTTTCGAAAGGATGTCGCTTGCTTAGAGAAGATACAAAGACTGGCCACCAAAATAATTGAACATCAGCGTGAGTAGTCGTACGTTGACTGCCTGGGTTGTTTAGACTTGTTCTTATTGCAGCGACCCAAACTAAGAGGAGACCTGAGAGAAACGTTTGATTATGAAGGGTCTCAGTGGCATTAAGCCTACCGACCTTTTTGAACTAGCTATGTCGGACCACCTGCAGGAGCATCAGCTGAAGCTCATGAAGCAGAGGTCCGGACTGGATGTAGGGACGAAATTTTTCTATAACCGCATAGTACGCGGTTGAGATTTACTTCTCCTGCACTAGTGAAATGAAATAGGATGGAAACGTTCAACAGAGGTCTAGAAATGCATTCGTCTACTCTGTTTCTGGAATTGCACTAGGATTAGTGGATTCCAATTAGTACCAAGTATCCTGTGATCGATAGGCTGTCATGGGCGGCTCCGTGAAGTTAAGAGAGGTCGATCCTACTCTTTTTCTCTGCATAATTGAAGAAGCCAGGGGGCCTTGACTTGCTTACCGGGATATGAAACGAAACGTTCATTAGGCGAAGGCCTGTTTCGTCCCTGAAGACCTGACCTGGACGGATGGCAAAAACACGCAGGTCAGGTTCCAAGGACGAGCGTCCTGTTTCTTGTACTGGCAAGCAAACCAAAACCTCCGGTACTTCGATGTTTGGGTTGCTTTCCTTGCTTTTGCAAGGAACTAGAGCAACCTCAGTAACTTCTTGGAGCACAGACTACGAGGTCTGACAATTGTCACTATGTATGTATGTAATCTCAACAGTCTAGCAACTAGACATAGAACCAACAACGCCATAGAGATAAGCAGATAAGGGGTGTAGTGGTTAGTAATACCTCAAATTTTTCCTTTTCTCTCGTTAATTGTATCGTGACATCCTTTGGACAGTTTGTTTGAATTAACGATTGCAATAGACTTCTTCTTTGCCCGCGCTGTCGTGCTGATTTTTGACTCTGCTACTTCTGCGTGTGTACGGTGCCGTTCAGTGTGCTTTCGAATCAGATATAAGACGCGGAATTACTATCAACCGTCCATTTCCATCATGCTCGACGTGGGTCACAGGTATAGCGCAATCTAAGATT